CATTTCTTTAGTTAATAATTTGTTTACTCATTTATATGTGGACTATTGTCCTCACCTTTTTTTGGATTGACAAACACCAGAGAACACAACAGCCGAAAATATTTTGATAATGATAACAAAGATCATAGTGTATTAACTGTTTCCCTGTAAACATTTCATATTCATTGACTGAACAGCCAGTATTGTTTTCAGTTGAAATTTATAAAATCTTTTTCTTAAGAAAACAGATTTCGCAAGTCCAGTCTCTGTTTTCACTCTTTCCAGTGAAACATTCTATTTGATATAGTGTGAAATATTAACACCTTGATTATGTCATCATTTTCTCTTTGAATTAAATGTACTATTGATTTTAGTTGTTGCTGCTGTTGGTAGTCCTCAAATTATGTGGTTATTTAGTACGGTTAGTCCACATACAAATAATGCTAACTCTTCATCCCAGAAATTTAAACTTTAAATTTGTTTTCATATAAGTAATAACATCACTTTCATGATTTCAAAGTTTATAATTCTTTATTACAGATTTAAGTTAATCTCATTTCAATTAAAATTATCATAATTCCTTCCAGTACTAATATTACTACAAAATAAAATCTACTGGGAAAAGTTCTCCAGATTCAATTCTATTTGCAATTGTAATGTTTCAATCATATTTTAAACATTGCCACTTAGGGAACCAGGCTTGGCACAGGTCTGTTGCTGCTGCTGTTGTTGAGTTTCAAAGTCAATATACCTGTGAGGATGATACATCCAATTCAGTTTAATATCTAACAATACAATGAAAGGATAAATCAGGAGTGCTGTTTGTCAATTCAAAATTGTCAGCAAAACAACTTCAGATAATAAATAAAATCAAAAAGAAGAATATTTTAAAATTGATCAAAAACTGTTCTTGACAAATGCCTCGGAGAACAACTCTGAAAAGAATCTTACTGAGGAACAAAAACTCTGTTTGTTTTTGCTTTGGAAACTGAGAGCTAAGGCAGTGCTCGGATTTGCCAATCTTTTCAATCAATTCAGAAAGCATATTCCAAGAGCTATTTTTGCTTCCTGCATTTCATTGCCATTCAAAGAATTGAACAAGTAGCTTTCTTGAAGAAGTTCTTGGTTATAGCTTAGGGTTTGGAACATTTCACCAAAATCCACCGCCCAAGGAAAAATGAAAATAATTATCTCAGAACAGTGTAGTACTATGAATGTTGACAACATTGATATATGTTACAGAGATGATTTTTATTTCTTCACACAAAGAGATAGATATAGACAAAAGAGCTTTAATAATACTGACAAAAATAAAGTTGCTACATTCTGACATGTGTTTAATATACTTGAGATTAAACAGACAACTTATATTGTCTTATTATCCTAAATGACCACATATACAGAAATTTATACTATTTCCACAAGTTAAAAAATAAAAGGTGCATTGGCAGTGCATCCACCTCATATTAACACTATGTATCCTTCTGAGGTGTTAACACAAGTTTGTACTTTCCTCTCTATATGATCATACTAATAGATATTACATGTTTATTGAACCTGGTCAAGTCGAGATAAGATGCAGATTTCCCAGTGATTGGGGTAGGCAGCAGTTGGCTAACTTTCATTCTTTCCAAGCATTCCTGTCAAATAAGCTAATGTGGGCAAATCTGCACTCCTGTGCACATCCCTCCCAAGTCTACCTCAACCTCTGTGATCAGGAATCCTGAACTCCGAGAGAATCCTGAAGCAGGATGATGAAGCTCGCTGGACATCACAAAACCATTTAAGACAACATGTGTGCAACACTGAAGTTATGTCCTCAATACAGAGACTTGTTAACAAACAACTTGAATGAGGAGGTTTCATATTCAGACTTGGTGCCACAGATCCAGCAAATCATTGAATGATCATTGCGATGAAGCTGCCACAAGACTGACACACTTGATGCCTAAGTCTCACTGCTGTGAAGCAGTGCAGATCATGCACCTGTTCAAATATGTTTGGATGTGGAATGGATTGGCGCTTTTTGAATTTCCTGCAAGCCACAGGTTAAAATGGTGAGCTCGCAACCTCCACATGCACAGAGCATATCCCCAAGATAACAAAAGCAAGGTTTGTAGGTGGGCTAAGTAGATGAGTTGAGTATCCTCCTATAATGCTTCATACATATTTAATAGGGTACAGGTCTGGTATTGATGCTAGATAGAGAAGTTGTTATATATCTTGCAGTTTATATCTGTCTATATTTCTAAGATGAGGTATTGTAACTATTTACACTGTTTAGACTGTTATCATCAGGGAAATAACTGAAACTGAGATATCCAGAAAAAGGCATGGCATGTGGAACTAGACCAATCTACCCCATTGGATGAAATAAAGGGTTAAGTTTTAAATTCCAATTTATATCACCAAAAGACAGTCAGAGTATATAACAGCCAAAATGTCATGATGAGGACAACAATGTAAATAGTGTAAATACTTGCAGTTTATGCTGAGTAGCATCCTGACTTTTTCAATTATACATCGAGGTGATTCTGAGAGCACCAACAAGATTCATTACTGGCAGCCACAATCTTAACAACATCATGTATGCAGATGACACAGTGTTGATAGCAGACACAGAAAGAAAGCTACAGAAACTCCTACAGAAGGTAGTGATAGAAAGTGAGAAGAAAGGACTAAATATCAACTGCAAGAAGATAGAATGCATAGTTGTTAACCCAAAGTGAAAATTGCAAATCGGAGATACCAAAATCAAACAAGTGTGGAAATTTAAATACCTGGGAAGTGTCTTAACAGAGGATAGACAAAGATGCTGGTATAGCCAAGGAAGCATTCTAAAAGCTAAGCAGATTACTAAGAAATAGAAAGATTTCACTAAAAACAAAGAAAAGAATACTAAACTTTCAGGAAATTTTTAACTGCAACCTTTATTTAATCTATTTTTAGTATGGTTCAGTTATTGCTCACTCTGTTTTCACTGAGTCTGAGTTACATTATTTTATTGGTTCATGAATGTGATGGAATGACAATGATAGTGAGTTAGATAGTTCAAATTGAATGGAAACCAGATGAGCAATGATAAAAAAGAGAACAAGTTATCACAGACATAAGAATTTTGAACAATCTACTCCCATAAAAGGTTCAGTTTGAACCAGATAGCTCAACAGCTAAAATATTGTGACAACAACAACAACAAAGATAACTACACTTGTTTGAATGTAAATAAAATTAATCTTATTGAGAAACAATGAAGGAAAAAGCAATTTCAGCCCTTTCATAAAAAAAAAAATAACTATTATTTTCCTGTTCATGTTTGGGGTTAATGGTTTAAAAAGTTTGGGAATCTCTGTTGTAGAAAATATGTTAAATGTCAAAAAAATTTCTATATTCAATATTTTCACTTTTGTGATTAACTACTGCATTAATTAAATGTGTAATGTTAATCATGGGAAAATTTTATAGTACATGAAATAATGGTGGTGAAGAAGAGTGCATGCACAAATAATAGACCAATTGATTTGTAATGCAAAGATAAAATTTATTAAAACAAAATTAATAAAAGTAAAGTTTAGAACAAGAGTTTTTTTTGTTAGATGTAAATTGTATACACAATGAAATGTTCATCAATATGTTATAAGAGGAACTTACTGTGTTGGTGTGTTTTATGGGTGAATCATTTTGCAGCCCTTTTAGCTTCAGCTTGGAAAGTTCATACTTTGAAAAAGGAAAACCCAGTTGCTTTAGGGTTCACATGATTTTGTATTCCAGAGATGCTACTGCCAAATTTTATTTAGAGCTGCTTCTATCTCACTGGTTGATTTCTATGTAATAGAAATTATGTTTAGGGTGAGATGTTGAAGAATTTCCAATAATTTTCTTCATTTGAAAATCTTGTAATGAATCCATTTTTGTCAGTCACTATCATATCCAAAAAAGAAAGGAAATACACAAGTGTTTAAGCCATCAAAACCCAGTGTTCCCTTTTCCTTTTTTAGGTGATTGGCATTAATAGATTATAGGTAGAAAATGTCTTAGCAATACTGGATTTTTATAATTGACTGGCAGTAGAGTCCGGCGTTGCCCGGGGATGTAACAGTAAGAGATAAATAAAGTATTGACCATCATAAAGACTGAAAAATAAAATTGACAAAGATTATTGTTTAAGGTTGACGGACACACATGTCTTAAAAAAAAAAACTAATTAAGAATTGGTCAAACCCAAACTCAAACAAAAACATTGTTTTCAATCGTTATGAGTCTACCGATTGAATAGAATTTTATTATAAACAATTGTCTTGTAAATGGAATTTTTAAAGCATTCTGAATGTAAAAATAAAGAAAAAAGTGTGCAAGACAATAAGAAACACTACCTACCAAAAAAAAGTGAAGTTTTGTTGAAATTGGTTGAAAAATGTAGGAAATCCGATCCCATATATAAAGGAACACACACACACACACACACACACACAAACAACCTGGGTTTTATAATAAGTATAACTGAATATGAGTTGTCCCCCTTTCATTCTAGCGATGCCTCTTAATCATGTTTTCAAATTGATTTTATGCAAAAACAATTGTGTTTTCCAATTTTTGGTGCTGTCAGAACCACCACAAGGTAATTTTATGTAGTTCTGTGAAGTTTTTTTGAAATTGGTTGAAAAATGTAGGAAATCCGATCCAATATATAAACGTACAGACACACACACACACACAACCTGGGTTTTATAATAAGTATGATATGATACCAAATTTTACAATTAATGAGTTAAATGCTGGATAATGCTCTTTCGTGAAATTTATATGATACATTTTTTTTTTTTACAAACCTTAAGAAAAAAATATTTGACTAATTGCATAGTTGTATAAACCACCAAATACTCATCTAAGTTTTCCTTATTATCGTACAAATGATGATTTTTATATTCACCTAAAATAAAATGTCAGTTTTTGGTGAAATAATGTTATGCTTATGTCTTACAGTTTTCATGTCTTAGTAAACATTTTTTTTTCTTTTACAGGATGAAAATATCACCAAGGGGATGGCGATATTTGATACAGTGCTCTGACGAACTACACTCCCAAATTGTACATAATGAAACAAAACACACACACACAAAAAAAAAAATAAATAAAAAAAAAATTTATCATACCTGACAAACCACTTCAATTTAACTTCTGTTACAGTCTTTAAAACATTTCTTCTTTGATAATGTTGTACATACCTTTTCTTAATGTTCCTGATCCCATGAGCAGGAATATATGCACTGAACATTATCATAATGGTATTGACAAGTACCTCAATGTGAAAATGAACAAAATACAAAGGAGTTTGAAAGAAAAAAATAAAACTTTTAAAAAAAGAAGAAGAAAAAAAAAGGACTAATTGTTATTAACCCAAGCAACTGAGTATGCATGGACTGAAATTTAAATTTAAAAGCAAAAAAAAAAAAAAAAAATGCTAAAAATGCAAAAATATATAACCAAATTGAACCCTTTATACACCACCACTACTATTTCTTCCTTACTTACAATGTTAATCTCACTTTTTACTGAAAAGGAAAAAAAGCCATTTGAGAATGTATATTCTCACCTGTTTCATCATAATTTATATGGGGTTAGGGGAAACAGTTGTTTTTTGGGGGTGGTTGTTGTTGTTGTTGTTCTTTTCAATAATTAAGGTAAGAGGAAAATGTAAAAAGTCACTGAAAAGCAGTGTATTATTGAATACTTTTCCATCAAAAGCATAATTGAAAATTAATGATCCAAGTGAAAACTTGGGAGTGTTTTTCTTTTCTTTCTGCATTCTTACAAGTTGTTTAAGGAAAACTTTTAAAATTTAAAAAAAAAAAAAAAAAGAAAAAAATTATTTGCCACTTGATCTCAGACAAAAAAAAAAAAAAGTAAAAACTGACAATTCTTACAGAAACAAAATGGATAAGGAGTAAAAGAACAACTAAGAAAATTTGGTTAATGGGCACTTTCTGTACATAGCCATTTTTAAAATAGAATTAAGTAATATAGGAAATAAAAAAATATATATTTAGTTTAATGATAAATCTGATGCGTGTATCTAGATGCATTGCGGAAGTAATCGATAAGATTATTTTTTGCCATACATACATACATGTCTGTATGTGTGTGTATACATGTGAGTATGATAGTGAACCATGTGTGTATGTGCTTATCAAGTTCTAAAAAGAACAACAAAGTAGTTATATATGTGCATATTTTTATGCATCAGTGTGATTGGGATATTTTAGCTAAATGAAATATTAGATATTTCATCTTTCAAACATTGTCTTCTCTGATTATTTTTTCTAAAATATATCCTGTTATTTCTTACAAACTCTTTAAATAATCCAAGCACATGAGGACTAAACTGCACTTTAAATAGTTCTTTTTTTTAAAATTTGAATATCAATAAATTTAATCAATTTTTTTTTTTTTTTTTTTCTTCCTTCATTTTATGTTTTTGGTCAGTTGCCTAACACAATGATTGAGTTATGGACATTGAGATTGGAAAAAAGAAATTAAGTCAGTGAAATAGAATTTAAACTTATCTCTGGAAGAGTATTTTTTTTTTTTCTTTCTCAGCAACAAATAAGTCTTTGCTTGCACTTCAACATGACCGATAGGTTTCTTGCCCTCTTTTTTTTTTTTTTTTGTATTCCAGTCTATGCTATTTCACAGGCTGAAATGGTCATTTAATTTAGCATATACAAAATAAAATCCAGCTAGTAATAAGAATTAAAAAAAATAATTCAATAAACAGATGACTCCCTTTTTTTTAAAAAAAAAAAGGAAAAAAACTGACCTTAATACAAAAAGAAAATAGCAGCATACAATTTCTCTTAATTTTATCCCAACATTGTAATACTACTACTACTACTAACAATTTTTAAAAAATTAATGCATGTATAATTACTTCCAATATTTACTGTGCATTCTTGTTTTTTTTTGTTGAATATTATAAATATTGTTGTTGTTGTTGTTTTTTAAAAAAATGAACTTAGTGTGAATTGTTAATTTAAAAATAAAAGAAAATTGTTTTTTTTTTCCTCCTGATTATTTTAGTGAATGATTTTAAATCATAAACAATAAAGTTAACACTCCACAGACATTAACATAACAGATATGTGTATGTATTGTTTAGTATATCAACTCAGAAAAAGATAGGGTGAACTCTTCAATCTATATTAATACTTATTCTTGAAGTTTATAGACAGAGCTTGGGCAGAGTTGAAGATTGAATTCCAATAGGTACTCCACAGAATTATTCAACAACTTGGCAAAACTGATTTATAAATGTAACATGATGAAAATGAAAAAAAAAAAATCTCAAAACATGGCGTACAGTACTTGCATGCTTAAGAAAAGGTGTAACATTCCCCGCCCCAGTTGAATTATAAATTAAAGGCCAATTCTTACACGGAGCATTCAAATAAGTAAATGACAAGCTCAAAGCATCAACAACAAATTTGAGAGGAGAAGGTAAGTATGACAATATCTATGTACATTCATGTGATTATTCATTGAAAGAAAAAGCCCTCACATAATAGAGGCTGCCAAAACATTTCTACAAATAAAAAAAAAAAAAATGTTTTTTTTCTTCTGCAGGAGTTTGGGATCTTTCTTAATTAACTTATTGGTAATAATTTTACTGGAAATTAACATTTGAATCAAATGAAGACCCCAATTACAAAAAATGAAAGTTACAACGAAAAATAAAGAGAAAAAAACATCACATTTTAGTGATAATCTAACAAAATCTCTTGTCTGGACCTTTTTAACTCTTGTAAAATTATAAAACAGATTGACTCAAAATGATGTGGTCTTAAGAAGAGAGAGAGCCTGATTATAATTAATCATGTTTAGGACTGACTTATCAAACAAAGTTAAATATGTGTACTATTCTAAAGAAGTTGCATAGAAAAAAAAACTTTCTCTGCCCCTAAGGTATCCTGAAAAAAAAAATTAGGAAAAACTCTTATATTAATATACAGATGGTAGAACTATGTCAGGTATGAAAGATTAAAAAAAGTAGCAGCTAGGAAATGTTTTTTCCTTATATTATAAAATCTGATGAGAATAAATATTAATTATGAAGAAATCTCAGCATCAGAATTCTGTAATTCTATATTTAAATTTAAGAAAAATATGTATTACAAATAAAATTTTATTGGGTCATTCTTATTGTTATCTTATGAAAAGCAGTGGCAAACAAACTAGAAACCTTTTATCAACATAGAATTCACTTTTTTTCTTAAATTGATTTTTATAATTCAAGCTTTCAATTACTAAAAATTAAAATATTAAAAATGACAAAAAATAAACACTTTCAGAATTTTAAATCAATAAAATAGTATTTGTCCAGATAAGAAAAATTAAATAGAGTTGTTTCAAATTAAAATTATCAGCCCATGCTTCAAAATATAATTATTTACATCAGTTAGCATTTTAAATTTAATGATAGTTTAACAAACACATTTCATACAAAGAAGTCACAGAATTTCTGCTACTATTATGAGAAAGCATCTGTAGTTTAGGCAAGATTTCTATACCCTGCACACATTTTTTATAACATCAATAATCACAAAAAGATTTAACGATTGATAATGTTTATGATGTAAATAGACAATTCAAAATTAGAAGCAATAACTAAAATCACAGCAATTCAGACAATATTGCTTATTCTTATGATAATAGCAAAACTATTGACAACGACAGAGACCACTGCCACGATCAAGTAAATAATCTAGATAAATCTTAGAGAAAGACACGATTAAAAATACATCTGCTGCCTTGTTTTAATTAAAAGAGGAAACTCATCCATTTCAGAAAACAATTATAATAAAAAAACAAAGAACACAATCATGAAAAAAATGGTTTCCATTATCTTTTGGTCAATGATTTATATATATGACCAGAAACATAGCTATATACCTCTGTAAATAATTGCTTTTGGCACACAGCTAAAATAAACTGAATTTTAGACATCCAACATTATCGGAACATGCAAATCTCTTCTGTAATTGTCATTGTTACCACAACATTTCAGCTAATTTGCTCTTCAGCCATCATCAGTGAAGGAAAAAACATTTCTTTTGTTCTCCCAGATTACAACTGAGAAGGATTCAAGAATAGATTGGCTTGAAACATTGTGTTAATAAGCAGTTATGCGAAGACAAGATTTAATGTTAGATATGTTAATAACTCTTCTCAAATTTATAGACAAAATGAATTTTTATTTTCAATTTTTCTCAATACTTCTTTTGAAACTGCTAACAAGATCTTTCAAAAGACTGAAATTCTGCTGAAAAGATTTAGACGAAATTTCATGTATGCAAGTATAGAAGACACCATTTTGTTAGCAAGCAGCAAACAACATAAAATTAACCAGATACCTATCTTTATGTACATGCCATATTGGAAAGATTAAAAGATTTAAATGTACAAAAGAGAATTAAAATCATTTTTTCTCTCTCTGAAGTTCATTGATAAACAGCCTTTCATGGGAAGATACAAATGGGTGGTTACTGGAACTGCCAACCATAATCCATGTTGAGAAGAAGCCGTAGCTACAGACTGCATAAAAATGACCAAGATGGAGACAACAATTTTGAAATTAAAACTAGTTACAAAAAAAGCCCATCCAAACAATGCTTGATTTGACCAAAGTATGTACCAATCGAAATATGACTAAAAAATAAAAATGAACAAGAGTATGGTTTGAACCAATTATGATCAAACTGGAGAAAAAAAAAAAAAAATGGTTTAGACCAATCTTGTAATTATCCCTGCAATTTTATTCCTATTTTCTACAACACAAATTAGTTGGATTACAAAGTCAGAAACTTCATTCACTAAGAAAAATGTTGTATTATACAAATCAAACTGTTTTTTTTTTCAAATGGCAAATTTAACCAATCAGCTGTCTACATAAGTATATATGGCCATAATTATTTATATTCTTCTTGACAATATTTTTCTTTCTCATTTTTTTCTTCTTCAGCACAAAAGAAAAAAAACCTTGGAAAATATGTTTCTTGAACGTACACACATTTGA